CTGGGGCTCGACCATCTATATTCCATGGATAGTTACTTATAAGGCTGTAACTCCGTTCTCAAAAAAATATTGCAGCATTTGGAGATGCATTATGTGAAAGTGCATCATCTAGCTCTTCCCTATTACTGGTGCAGTCTCTTACAATAAACTAGATACTACTGCTGGCTGCAGTCTTGTAAGGGTGAGCTCATCTCTGAGTCTGGTTCTTGAGTTCAGACAGAAATGTTCCAATTCAAGCATGTACAGAAACATTTCTCAACTGAAATACTGCTGTGCCAAGTCAGACAGAATAATGACCATTCTAATTCATTCTAACCTGGAGGGGGGGGAAATAATCTTGATTAATCTTTGGCTGGAAGAAGGTGGTAAGCTTTTTTTTTAATGATGTGCCTTAAGAAAAGGAAATGAAAAAATATAGTTATAACTGCAAAGCTTGAACAACCATCTCTCTAGGTGAAAATCTGTCTTTACTTTAGGAGGACTGTGTTAATTTTGGATTGATTATGAACGTATTTCAGCTCCAGGGTACTATGGCCTTTGTACGTATATTTTTCTTAATTTTGGGATACATGAGAAAGAAGCAATCATAGGATATTTAACTCATAACGACTGCTTTTTCTGAATATAGCTTCCCAGCTGAATTCTTGATCTTTCTTCCCACATTGGAGTTGCTGGTGGAGTTACTAGGCATTAGGATGGATATGGGTGTCTCGAGCTGCTTTGTGCTTGTGTTTGCTAAGGGCTGCTTTCAGACCAAAAGATGCGATATTTCAGGGTTTTCAAAGGAGTGTGGAAAAGTTCTACTTCCTTTAAGTAACATCATCAAAAAACCCCACCCTACTTTGTCAAGGAAATCCTTAAACACATCTGAAGGGAGCGACGTTTATTCTTCAAAGTGTGTTCAAAATGGTTTTCCTAAGATGCTGTGCGTCCGGTTGAGATTGAAGCTCTACAGACACTTAATTTTTGTGTGCAACCAAATAAATACTAGATGAGTTGCAGCAGGAGTCAGAGGGAAGGGCTTGCTGAGAGGTATCTCTTCAAGTATGGAGCATCGAGTTTGGGGGAAAGAGAAGATGAAATGAGTGCAAAAATAGTGAAATGTAGCCTTTCTCATCAGTGAGTATTTATTGTCTTTCAGAATGCATTGGTTCTGATGAGACTAAACAGCCATAAAGAGCAACTGAGTGCTGCAAATTGGTCCATTGAATAATTGAAAATAGTTTAAAATGGCATAATTGGCTTAAAGTTGCCTGATCAACCCATCTAATCCCTTAGAGGTTCCCTGGGGCTTTATACTGATAGATTGACTGGGCTTTTTCAATGTGGTCAGTGCTGCTGCTCGTCATCTGTTTGTCTGGTGGAGGTTGCTCATCTTCGTAATGTTACTGTGTGTGGCTTTTACTTTTCTTATTGTCTTTCTGTTCCCAAATATTTGATATGAACAAATAAGTCAAGAAAAATGTTAATTGTTCTTTGCACTAACTCCGAGGTCAGTTGAAAAAAGCAACTTGTGTAGAGCTGGTGGAGCTATGGCTCTACAAATGAGTTCAACCTGATCTTTCTACATATGGTTACATATATCTCAAAGCTAGGAATAGGTAACTTGTTAATTGGTACAGGCGTGGGCTCCAGTATCACATTTTCATTTGTGTTAGTGATTTGGAGGAATCATTAGGAAGTCATTGTATCTTCCTTGAACACCTTAAGACTAGAAAGAAAGCTAGTAAAGAAACTGCGGTTGTCCTGAGCAGTTCCTGATTCACTGCCCAAGGGCAGTTAGTTGCAATGAAAAATCTTCATTCTTAATAATGTCTAAAAGGATAACGAGGAGATAGCTTGCAAGATCAAGCAGAGCTGGAAAGGCAGCAGAGCACTTGGGGAAAATCCAAAAGTGTCTTTCCCTCGTAAAGACAGGCTTTGCACCATATTAAAAGCAACCAGTCCTTTAAATGGTTTTGATAACCATTGCAGGAGGAATATTGCATTCATTTTGAGGTATCTTAATTAAGGAGGCAGTGGGGAAATTCAGAGAAGCTGTAGTTGAGAATGGTTAAACTGGGGGCAGAATAAATGGGTGTGGGTGTGTGTGTGTGCTAAGTTTAGCTAGGCAAACCAGTATCTGCTGCTTTTATGGTCTGCAAGTTTTGGAAAGATGTAAGTACAAGAGGAAGAAGAGAAGTGGAGGTTGCACAGGCTGATCTAACCATGAGTAATGGGGCAGGGGGGGCAAGGGGGGTCAGCTGCCGTCGGGATAACTCTTCCCTAGTAAATCCTGGTCAGAAACATCATGCCCAAGAGGAGAGGCAGAAATCATCTCTCTCGGGACCATTAAATCCAGGCTGCTCGGAGATCAGGGACATACATCTTAATGAACATTTCTTCCTGAGCTGGAGCAGGATGAGCTAATTGTCTTTGGTGCCCTCTGGTTACCTTGGCTCAGATTCATGTTTGTTGGATTTAAGTGTCATTACAAGTAATTGAAGTTAGATATGGAGATCAGAGGAAGAAATGGGCTGTGTCACTTATTAGCTAAAGGAATGAAGTAATTAAATTTGCCAATTTAAAGCCACTTTCCTTCCCTGTCCTTAGAAAATACTGACCCTGCAGATTTTTGATGCTGAACTGTTCATTTTCATTTTGCAAGTGATGTTCTTCTCTGGGGTTTTGATAAACTGCTCTTGAAAATGGGTGTTCAGAGAAGGGAAAGGAAGGAAATATCCTTTGTGAGGGGTGAGTTAAGTATCTTGCTCTCTCTGTTTACCCTGTGGCTGCGCAAATAGGACTTGGTATTATATCTTTTTTTTAAAAGAAAAGGGAGAAAACCCCAAATGCTGATTTTTTTTTACAAGGAGTAACAGATTTTCCAATCTCAGAATGTACATCATTGTACCCTGGCAGAGAAAACGGGGTGAGAAAGATGAGATGTGTAAATTGTTCTTTTTCTAGCGTCTTGTAACTGGATTAGAGTTCTGTATATTCCTCCTTTTCCTCATAGAGGAAGCAACTCTTTCCATGCAGCACTAGATTTGAGGGCTAATAAGAAATTGTGTTCAGGCTTTCACGCAGTCCTTGCAATTGAAGCGAATAAAATTGGATGTGTTATTTAAACATTAAGAGGGTAGTTGGAAGGTGCTTAATATTGTTGCTCTTCAAGGAAATGGGGAATTAATCACTGGAAATGATGGATGGGTACAGAGGAGGCTTTTTGCATAAATCCCTTTAATTAGATGACATCACTGGAGAGATTATGGCGTTGGTGTTGGGGACAGCCGGTCGCCCTGATTGCAGCTCCGCAAGTGCTGGACAGACAAGGGGTGGTGAGCAAAGATCTCCTCATGCCAGCAGGCAGGACAGGGCAGCTGGGTGGAGGCACGGCTTCTGCTGCAGGGTTGTGGATGGAAGGGAGGATAATCCACCGCGTGCTGCTGGCAATTGCCGTGGTTATAGGAGACGTCGCTTATGCATGTGGTCTTTGGAATGTGAAGCCCAAATAATTGGCACGAGGAAATTGGAAATCCAGGGATGATAACGGCGGGACTGTACGTGCTGTATATATCAAGTGGCTAGTGACAGGCTGTTCCTGCCATTGAGTTTAATATTGTTATACATCTGTTCAAGGCATAAAGTGATTGGAAAAAGTGATCTCATTAACATGTTTGCTGACTCGTTTAGTGATGAAGTGCTACAGTTTATGGTAACAAGGAGAAAACACTATGTAAAAGTCTCCTGGTCTTAAATTGAAGGTCTAACTAATGTACAAAATCCAGTTCCATTAATTCCATATTAATTTATTTTTGGTTGAGGGATTCATCTTTGTGTCCCCTCCTCTCATCCCCATCTGGGAGATGCCTTAACACAGAAGGGTGGTTGCAGAAACTCGTTACTCATTATTTGAGCATCCGCAAAAAATATCAAAAGTTGATTGCAACAGATGAGGTTAAAGGGATGTGAGCCTCACCAGTGATGTACATCTTCCTGCCAGATTTGGGTGGGGAAGAGCCATCTTCAGAACAAAAAAAAAAAAAGGCTAAATTTTAATTTATCATTTAAGCTGACAACCGAAGTGCTAGTTATAGCCTAGAGGATTCCCTAGAAATCCCAGCAAACACCAAAATTCCTGTAGGTGGTATATATTTGAAAGTAACAGAGCAAGATAAATTCTCATATATTAACTTAATTTGGAAAAAAATCGTGGCACTATGTTGTAGCTTTAAATGGTGATGGGTTACAGAGCCCAAAATGGAAATGTACTCAAATTCTTTGGCGGGATGCAGAGGAAAGAGCGTGGTTTTGCTGTGATGGGTGGCTGAGAAGCAGTGCTTTTGCAGAGTTCTGACTAAATAAACCATGACAACGTAGACTAAATGCAGTGAAAAATAAGGTACCATGCTGTCTCCAGTGCGCCTTAGCTGGTGAGCTCTAGCTTGTGTGTTATCTCAATGTCATAACTGGACTGAGACAGGGTTGGTAATGGTTTGTTTAAATTTGTACAGCGAGACAAGAGCTGAGTCTGCAAGAGAAGTACCCAAAGCCCGGGTCTGCTCCTCACCCACCAGCTGCTTCACAAAGCACGGAGAATGTTCCGCAGCGCCGGAGGAACGTCCTCTGGCCAAATTAGTGTTATACTGCATGGAGCAGGCTGGAGCTCTTGCTACAGCATCATTTTCTGCTGATTGTCATTAGGAATACCAGATGATGTGTTGCTTTCCCTGCTTTTTCCACCTGTAAATGGAATAAATTCTGTTCAAGAAACATCTCGTCCCCCCAACAGCCTTATCAAGACTTTTGGTAAAAGGAGCACCATGAGGCTTGTAGCTAGAGGTTCCAGAGTTGCATTTTCTTATTAAAAATGCAAGAATTATGGAAAAATACTTTTGGATAAAGTAATTCTGAACTTGTGCCTTTTTTATTGAGCTTTTGTATCTTCGTTAACTGGTGTTTGTTTTTTGTTGTGTCGTGTTTTTTTTTTTGTTTGTTTGTTTGTTTGTTTTATGTAGCTCCCCAGAGGAATTTTGAAATTGCCTTTAAGATGTTTGATCTGAATGGTGATGGCGAGGTGGACATGGAAGAGTTTGAGCAGGCAAGTTGAATGACAACTTGACTTCTTAAGGCCAAGGCATCTTAGTCATAACATCATAGAGAAGCCCTGCACTTACTGTGGTTTATATTTGTGGTTAGTGCTGGTTTACATCTTTTCCTTCTATGCTCTGCTGTGTTCTCTCAGTGTCAAGACATAATTTTTCATTCAACCAGGACAACTGTAAGTATAAACTCTGATGTCCCATGACTGTGTCACCGAGGTATCTTTACAAAAGACGTTTTTTCACTCTACTGATGTGTTAGGATTTTGATCATACTTTCTTCCACAGCTTTTACTGCATTCCTTAATTTTGTCTTCAGAGAGTAACCAAGGCGAGTCTGCTTCAAAGAAGAATTTAGCCACTTCTTTCAATGTAATCTAAAAACGTGTTTATTGAGAGTGTATTTTCATTACTTTATTTTCCCTGCTTCCTATAAGGTATCATCAACAGAGAGTTTGATGCAGGCTTTTTAATGAGCTTAGCCTGCACGCCTGATACTGGTGAGGTCCTCCCGTAAGCTATGGCTTGTGATTGTGTTAGAGTGAGATCAGACTGAAGACTCAAACTGTCAGTGGGGAAAGGTCTGACCTCCCCAGGCACAAGTGTATGGTTTTGTTGCCTATATAGGAAGCAGCCTTAAACCTTTGGAAACACGTAAGTATCCTGAAGTCGCTGAATATTAGCAAAGCTCCATGTGTGTGCTACTCATGAAAGGAAAAGTAAATGGGTTTGCAAACAAGGGAATGGAGAGTCACCATCTCTGTTATCAAAGAACAAGGTAGAGGAGATACACCACTAATCTACCCGATATTCATGTGGCCCCCGGTGACCCCGTATCCCTCAGGGCTCTGTTTAACGGGCAAGTGGGAGCTGCTGCTTCCGGGCAAAGGAAAAAAGACTGGTGAAAAAACCTGCCTTTGTGATGTGTTTTATGCTGGGAGATGGCCGTGTTTGGAGAGGGTAAAATGCTGTGTATGGATATCCAAGAACAAAGCAGCCCTGAATAATCTAGTTACAAATTCTTTCTCATCGGTTAATTGAATGGCTAGTTAACTTCAGAAGGGTCTCTACGAGGTCATGCGTGGCGCCCTTGCTATAAATGGGAAGAACTAGTAGCAAAGCAAGTCTGTTAAATTAATTCTTGCCCTTCTAACTTTTTTGCTGTCATCCTCCTTAAATTATTACCAGTGGGTATGATGTCATTATTATGAGTTTGCTCCAGAACTGTGTAATATAGCTGATTAATTGTATGTTTTTTAGATTCTAACTTTGGACTATGAGGAGAATGGAGTATGTTTGTTTCCAATAGGATATCCCTTCGTGTGAGAGCTTGTAATGTAAACCTGGGAGCTTGTTCATTTTCCTTCAGATACAAATTTGAATACACAGCTATGTCCAGGTTATTGTGCCTGGTTGCCACTGTTTACCTACAACCTACTGATTTGTACTGATTGATACAGCCGTGAAAAATTCTGAGTTTCCTATTTTCCCAAGTCAAAAATGCTGCTCATCCTTTTATTTGCATAGTGCATGAATATAGCACTCCATTGCAGTTATTTGGTAATATTTAACAATTCAAAAGGTGTTTTACGGTAGTTACTAATGCTCCAGACTGAAATTAATTATGGAGATAAATGAATTTAAGAAAAGTGGAGACTACTAAAACTGCAGTGACACCAACATCCTAATGCAGATGTCATGTTTGGCTTTTTTATTATCCGTGTAAAGTAAGAAAGAATGTTTCTGGAGGATGAATGCTTTGGAAGTGCTGTGAAGATGAAGGTACAAAACTGAATTATCTCAAATCATCCGGTAGGCAAAGAGAAGTTATATGTGCATTAAGTCATGTAAAAACCCTTAGGAAGTGGAGCATATTTTTGTTAAGCTTGTTACATGCGTCACTGCCTCTATATAAAGGACTTAAATTCCTGGTTAGCATCAGAATATTTTGGTGAAGACTGATCTTCCAGAGCTTTCGAGTCAGAGGATGAAGGAGCTGTTTTGGAAAGTGAGAATAAGTTGACAATATCTTCGCAGATATCACTGCAACTGATTTGCTACACTTCCCAAACAGAATTAAAGCAAACACATAGCTTCAGTGTGAGGTACATATATAAAACATTATACACATATATAATCCAATACAGGGAGTAATTTATATGACAGATATTCTTTTTTTTGCTCTTTATGGAAATGCCTTGGTAAGAGCATGAGGGATAGCAGTGTTTGCTGATTTGTCCTGTGAACATCTTACCTGGCAGGGACAGCTGGAACTGGCCCTTCCAGAGGGTTATGCTGTTAGAGGTGGCATTAGTTTGAAAGAGCAACATCATTTTGGGGAGAATAGAAAGAAAAAGAAGGGCAAGAAAAGGATCTTCACAGAAGCATTGTACCATCCCTGCTGTCTGTGAGGGAATAAATTTCATACTCCTTTTTCACGTCAGCTTTGGATACAGCCAACAGCAGGTCTCTCTTCTCATTAATGTCTGAAAAACTGTAAGAGTATTCATCAAGAAAGAAAATTACTTGCAGTTATTTAGCTAATATGCAAGCAAGTTGGAGGCTTTAACTACCTAATGAGAAAATATTGAATTTCTTCAGGCCTCACTGAAGAGACTCAGATTTTTTTTTTTTTTTCCAGTTGATGCATATGGTTAGTGCATAGTGCTGAATGGTTTGGTGCCTGCATCAGTATCATCAAATTTTCATCCTTAAGCATCTGAATTGTTAGTTTACTCTTCTATTTTTAATTTGAAAGTTAGATGACAAGTAGTAAACTCACAGGCAGTGTTACCTGTGATTTCTCTTCAAACCGTTAAGTATTTTCATTGCTTTTTGTTTTATTTCTTTTTTCCCACCTTGTATTGTGCAAAAGATGAAATGGATCACAAATGCGTGGGCTGAAGTGCGTACAAAGGACAGTGAAGCATCTCTGGGCTTTACATCGTTGTATGATCGATGAGCCATGGGGTGGGACAGCACTGGTTGGGCTGGAAGACAACTTCCTGCAGTGGTTGCTTGTCTTTCTGGGTATCAGAAGGACTACCCAAAATAGGGACCAGCCAAATAATTTTGGCTCCAGTGCCCACAGATGGATTTTCAGAGTGTCCAAAACTTGTTATAGATGGGGAGAGAAAAAGAGGGATGTAGGATGCCACATAAATAACAGCCGGGAAAAGATGCTCTATCGAACAGTCTGCAGTGTGGTAAACACTTGCTTCTACAGAAACAGGAGCAATTTTCCAAGCTGGTCATAAACTGCCTTGCTTCAGACAGTTTATAAATATTTGTCTCCAAAATGTGTATGCAGCGCTCGCAGTTAAAATGGAGCACAAAGCAAAATAAGGAGTTGCTATTTACAGTGCAAAAATCCTTCCTGACATCACAGTGCATATTTAAAAAAAAAAAAAAAAAACCTAAACCTTTTTTCTGGTTTTGTTTTTTTTTTTTTTGTTTTGTTTTTTTTCCTTGACTCTACTTGATTTTCCTTGTAGTGCAAGAGTAGCCAGTCGTCTGTGGTTCAGAGGCAGCATTTCAAGTGAGGTGAGCTCAGCAGTGATATGTGGTGTTCTCCTCCAGAGCATCCCCTTTGGGGTTGTTCCAACATGAGCTTTCTTGTTAGGGAAAAAAATTGAGCACCTACCACAATAATGAGGTTCTGGCATTCCTTTGACAGCTGGAGCTCTTGGCAGCCGTTTTCCTTCCTTCCTCCCTTCCAACTTTTGTCAGCAGGAGGAAGAGGCTGAAGGCAAAGCAGCGGTGTTGGCTGGAGCTTCGGGAAGCCTGTGCTGTCGAGGCTGAGTGCCGGGCAGCACGTCGGGTGGCTTTTTTTCCCCTCCTTTCTCACACTTGTCCTTAATATGTATCCTCTGCCTGTTGGAAGAGATCAACTGTTATGCAGGGGATAATCCTGGCTTCTCGTATCACTGCAATAGTCATTCAGATGGGCAAGCGCTGGGAAGGGGTAGTGGGATACTTGGGGAAGGAGAGAGGAGGCAAGTGTGCGTTTGGCTTGGCTGCCCCCCCTTAAATTAGCACAGGGCCCTTAAAGTAGTGAACTGTTGGATTTTTCAGGCTGTTGCATCCTTCGAGTTCAACCTTTTGCCATAACGGTAGAGGGTGGGGAAGTTGTCCTGCATGTCCTTGCCCTGTCCCATAACATCCACTTGAGTCAAGTTTGCCTGCTAAGAGCTCAGGGAAGGAGGAGAAGGATGCTGTTTGTCTGCGTGGTTTGTTAAAAACATTGAGATATTGCTGTTACAATGGCTGCTTTCCCACTTGGCTGTCTTCATGCAAATATGCCGGTCTGCTGATAACTCACAGAGTTCTGCATTACTCCTTATTCTGCTGGTGCTGCCGCTGGGGTTGTATTTGGGCTGATGCACCCTGCAGGACTTCTGGAGAGCCCTTTGCTCTGGGTGGGTCAGCCCCCCACCTGCAGCTCAGCTTCCCACACAGCCCCAGGGACAGAGAAGCTTCCAGCCATGGCAGAGAGCGGCAGGCAGCAAGGAGAGGGCGCCTTTAGGTGGAAAAACCCTGTGTTTGTGCATCAGGGGAGAGGAAGCACAATGTGAGCTAAATGGGGTTGGTGTGAGCTAACAAGAATGTGCAGTAAAGTACGAGTGGAAGCTCCAGAATGTTTGCAGGCTTTTTTCTTCCCCACGGTTGCCTCTGCTTTCTCTCCTCCTGCGACTTCGCTGGGACCAAGCTGCTCTCTGCTGACCAGGCGTAGGATCAGTGCTAGAGTGCTTATCTGCAAACTGGGTGAATTGTTTCTTAAAACTCATTTTAAGCATTTCACACTCTTCTTTCTTTCAAGAGGACTGAAAAAAAAAATAAGCCTAAGTTCAGCCAAGTTTTTGAATTGTCATATCTTTTAAGAATTATTTCAGGCCAAAAAAAAAACAATAGAGGTTGACATGGTTGAGCTTTGGAGTACTTTGTAGAGATACTTGACTAGTGTCAGTCCCAGCAGTGTTTTTGATGCTGACATCCTCCCTCTTATTTTTAGGTCCAGAGCATCATTCGTTCCCAAACCAGCATGGGCATGCGCCACAGAGACCGGTCTACAACAGGAAACACCCTGAAAACTGGCTTCAACTCCGCGCTGACGACATACTTCTTTGGGGTGGATCTGAAGGGGAAGCTGACCATCTCCCACTTCCTCGACTTCCAGCGCAAACTGCAGCACGATATTCTGAAGCTTGAGGTTTGGGGGTTTTTTTTTACATCTGGAGGGAGGGCAGTGCAGCAGGGACTGTGCTGCATGATGTGTTTTCTGGAGGAAGAGCAAGAGTGTGGGAAGGGTTTGGAGGGAGTTAGTACAGCTGTGGCTCACAGCACTCATGGATCCAACCTGTTGTTAAATTTCTGATGAGCAGTTTGGTGCCTGTGGCACTCCCCGGGAACACCTCCAGCTTTTGTTGGTAGCTGCTCTTGTAAAGTTGCAGCAGCAGCCAGCATGTCCCAGGTGTGTGTCCCTCCACGTGGTGCTTGCCTCGCTGTTGCCTTGGCATTGCTGATGGAAATGGCTGAGATGCTTTAGAAAAAAAAAAAAAAAAAAAAAAAAACAGCAGAGGTTGTGAGTGGTCAGTTGCTACCTTAGTGGGGAAGGTTTGTCTCGGTCCTAATGAGTGAGCTGTGCCCTGAAGGATCAGGGTTTATAACATTCCCAAAACGTTTCAGCTCTGCTTTTGTCCCTGCCTTCTTGTTTGCTTCACTACTCTGAATATTTCTGCTACGTAAGTGTTCAAGCCTTGTTTGAATCTTGGCAAATAGGTGATCTCTGTTATGTGACCTCCATGATCGGCTCCTGGATTAACATGCTTTATAAGAAATGTTGTCTATATCTTCTGAGCTTTTTACCTTTCAATTGACTTGAAGGTCGTCTTTTTTCTTTGCATTACCATGAGTTAGCAGCTCCCAATCTCCTGCTCCCCGTCACATAGCCTGAATTTAAGCATCAAGCTTCAAAACTTCATTCTTTTGAATAAAGCGAGTACAAGAACAGCAAGAGGAGGTACTCCTTGGTCTGTGTCTTGGCTCCCAAGTGGAGCTGACTCAGGTAGAAATGATGTCCTTCTCTGGAGCAGGCTCCAGTGTTCGACCCGGCTTGAACAAAGCCAGGCTTTTAATTGCATCAGAAGTGAGGATTTGCGCAGAAGATTCCCTCACAACCATAACCTGATAAGACAACAGTATTCAGAGTTCACTACCGCTTCAATTTGATGTATGAATCTTTGCATGCTCAGCTTGTGTGATCCAGCTAATGAACAGCATCTTATTAAGTTCCTGTTAAGCCAGTCATCATGAACTTAACCTGAACTTATTCCCTTTTTCATGTGGAGTTTTATGAATCTAAGTAAGAAACTGACCCAAGGACTAATTTTTTTACAAAGGTAATTGTCCACCTCACTGACTTCCTTTAACTGGTCATTAAATCGGGTGATATGGCTCTGCATTTGCAGGGGGCATAGGTTGGTTGAAGACAATGGTCTTTGTGAACTGGAAGGTGTCGATTCCTCAGCGTCCCTACAAATTGAAATGAATTAAATACTTTTGAAGGTTAAGAAACATAAGCTGAAACTCTAACACAAAGGCAATAGAAGTAAGAGATGATTCTATCCCCGTTGGCAGTCCTGCTCTGGTTTCCCACTGCCATGTTCGTTCCAGGGGTGGGTGACAGGGAGGCACTGAAGTATTTCTGACCCTGTGCTGGAGTCCCATACTCCCTCCACAGGTCCCCACTTATTAAGAGGCAGTGGGCTTTTTTCAGTTTCATGGTATTTGTTCCCCTTTTTCTCCTGCAACAGTTTAGTATTAATTTAGTTTTTAGTGATTTTTGTCAATTGTGCATCTTCCTGCTGAATTTTAGTTGCCTTTCTAACCAGCTAGTTATTAATTGCAGACAGTGCAAGATATTTATGTCTTGGTAACTTAATGAGTGTCATAAATGCATCATTACTGAATTCCCAACAGCACCCTTGAGCACAATACCACGCTGTACTTAGCGTTACTGATACTCGTTTTAACTGCAAAACTGACCTATGCAATGGTAACAGTTACATTCTGCCAAACTTATTTTTTTCCCCACGTTCATGATACTTAAGTACCTGATTTTTCTGTTTGTAGTTCTCATTGATTTAGGCAATACAGGCTTATTTCTGTAATCAGTGTTACATAATGTGGCCTCTCTCCTCTTCTGCTTTTATCTCTTTTGGCATAATATCCCACTGTCTCTCTCTGCTTCACCTTTGATGTGTTTGTTCACAGTTAAGTGGCTTTTCACACAAGTGGCTAGTGGGTTTGCGTTGCTCCTTTTCCGGGGAGTGCTGTAATGAACTCAGCCACTTTAAAAATGTGGTAATTCAGAGGAGAGACATGTCAAGTATTTACCTTGACCCATGCAAATTGGAAGAACGTGAGAAGTGGCACTGGGAAATACTGTACGACAGAGCATCGGGTAACTCACGTAGCTGGTTTTTAACAGCTTCCCTTGTTACATGTGTCTGAGTAATGAGCCTGTGAGCACAGTGGTCCTTTGTCAGCATCATGCTCGACTGCACATGCAGATCACCTCTGGATCCTTCTCTTGGCATGGCTAGTGTTACTGGTGGACAAGAAGAAGCAGAAGAGAGCTGCTGGCAGATTTGCCAAGGGCTTAGCTGAACTTTTGTACCCTCCCTTTGCTGGCTTAGCAAAATTAGTGCGCGGTCTGAAACTGGGATGTTAATTTGAAAACCAGTTTTTGTTCACGTTCAGTATCTGAACTCCAGAAAAGACTTTGGGGTAATGCACTGTGAGCAGGTCTGAAGAATATCTCCTGAGGCTGGTGCAGCCCCCGAGTGACACGGTGGCTCTGTTCTCAAAGTGGGATGCTTGCTTTCTCTCTTCCAAAAGATGTCGACTTTAAGTCAGTCCTTTTTTAAAGCTGTTCTTGCATCAGCTTACTGTGGAGGCGGAACAATAGTTTCTGACCATCTGAACACAATTTCTTCTTACTTTTTTTTTTTTCTTACCAAAATATTCATGCATATTTCTTGTTCAGATCGAGCAGAAACTTTCTCAGATGAGTTACATCAGACAAAGCCCTTAATATTTCAATATTACTTAAGGCTGAAGTGCTGACAGCATGTTTAAGTAACTGTGGCCTGGTGTTTTATTCTTCCCTTCTGCTTATTTTTTTTGAGGAAAGTACATTTTGCATCATTTTATGGGAACTCAGCAATCGGCACAGTTGCCGAAAGGGAAAGATGAGAGAAGTAACCATAGCCAGAGGGAGAGGAGAAGCTTTTAACAGCTTATTGCAACTTTTTGTGGCTTGGATACTTTGAGGAAGCCGTGGCCTCCTTGGCACGTTGAGGGGTGGCCCAGCTTAGCTAAGGCTGAGCCACGGGTAGCAATCCACCGAATGGGGCTCTCAGCAGAAGTCCTCACTGTTTTTTTTTTTTTTTACTGTATTCATGCTGCCTTGCCTTAGTCTCTATGGAAGGACTTCTTTTCTTGTTGTTTAGCGTGACAAATGGTGACAAGTTTGTCTGGACAGGCTCTGCAGCTATAACATGTCCTGTTAGGACAGGTGGTATTTGGCTCAAATGGTGCTTTTTTTTTTTTTTTTTTTTTTGAATGGAAGTACTATGTGATTTAGGAAGATAAATAGGACTTGACATCATTGTTTATGCTATTTCTGCTTGTTAGTGTCTGTCCTAGATATTCCTGTGTCTGTGGTAGACCAAGAGGAGTCCCAGCCAGCCCATGGGTCTCTTCCAGCCTAAATTTTTCTATGATTCTGTAAGTGCTTGTAGAAAAGATGTGTTAGTCCTTTGTTCTCCACATCTGTGTCGCCTCTAAAAGGAAACCCAAAACCTCCTAATAGCAGTGATTTAATCTCCATATTTGTTCTTGTTTTATTTCCCAGCAGTGGGATATGCGCCTATGGTGTAACCTTAGGAAAGAAATTTTTTTTTTTTTCCAAATTGTCTGCAGTGAGATTTCTATAGCACATTGTTTCCCTGGTCGTTACTTACGGAAGGCATTGCTTCTCAGCTGAATTGGTGAAACAGGTACTAATCCAGCCCTACACCTTGTAGGTGTGGGGCTGCCTTGCTGGCAGGAGATGCTTTGAGTGGAGAGGCAAGGTTGTGCTGCATGGCTCTGAGCAGCTCCACATCTCAGTCTGATGTGATCTGGGGTCTACCCTTTGAGGTGGTGGGAAGCAGCTTCCCATGGAGGAGCTTGCCAGAATCAGATCCTCATGCAGATGTGTATAGTTGTGCTTAAACACAGGGCTCTTTGCAGATCATTGTTTACCCAAGGATCAAGGATGTCCTGATAATGGTCCCTCCCAAGCAAAAAAGTCTTCCAAGTTCTGGAGCAAAGAGAAGTAAAATGGGATTCTGTGAGACTATGGCAAAGGGATCACACATCATTGCTGCCACCCAGATAAATCACTTATTTTATGTGTCTGTTCTGTGACAGGTGACGTGAGAGTAACTTCTTTACCCTGGAAACTCCTGTTTTCACGACCAGTGCCGACACGATGGCTGTTTGATTTGTTTTTTATGAAGAAGAGGTGATGAATGCTCTTCTATCTGCACATATCTTGTTAGAAAGTCTTAGATCTCGTTGGATCTCATCCCTGTCTTAACAAATATTCTGGTTTCAGAAGGCATTTCTAATGCTTCTCAATCAGGTTTTATGGTAATAAATTTGAGTCCTCAGGTGCCTTTCTGTTCTGAGTCCTAGTGCTGGGGTAGTTGCTATCTGAGTAATCCTGTACCAAGTATTAAAAACTACTGTGTTGTTACCAGCATACTCAAGATTTTTGGGGTTCTGCCTTGTATTTATATGGGTTTGCAGATTGACACCAATTTTCAGTGATTTGTTAACATAGGCAACAAAGATTAAAGTAACAAGTGGTGTGTCTTTGTACCTGCTGCTGTGATTTAGGTGAAAGAAAAGAGTAACTTAAATTGTTTTGACTGGATTGTAAAATGAAGTCTGGCAGAAATTAGGGACTGGCAAAAGTCTTTAAGCTTTGTAAGGGAGACCCCAAAACTTGTGCTTTTTGAAGGTCAATTTGCTATTGAACTTGTATGAGACATTTTTATTTTAAGTCATACTTGTGGCACTCTGTCATGGTCATCTGTGTTGTCTGACGCTGTTGTCCTTTGTCTGCTGATCTGCTCACCATCAGCTTCGCTGCTTGTC